AATTCAAACTTTAGATTCACTTCCCTTTACCACTTTCTATCATTTATTTCACCTTCTCCTTCTTAAACCTACCATTCAGGTCTGTAGCAATTTTTTTTTTTTTTTTTTTTTTCACTACTGAGGATTGAATTCAGGACCTTGCGCTTGCTAGGCAAGTGCTTTTCTATTGAGCTATCTCCCTGGGCCTGTATTTAATGTTAACAGTGGAACAAAAATGGAAAGAGACAGACAGAGAGGGAGAGAGAATATGAATTAAGAAAGTGAGAAAATGAGAAAAAAATTCTATATTTACTGTTAAGTATTTGGAACTAAAATATACCTGCTAAAATGTTGAATTGAAAACTACTCCATCTGCTAACCTTGCTACCTCTACATTTAAGGACAGCTTCCTCCCTTATCTGTCAAGTTTACACTCATAGATGCTTATGTTGTGTACTCTTATACCTTATTATTGACTTATGGTAAAAAAAAAAAAAAAAAAAAGTCCCTGTTAACACTTGAAACATTAATACACCCAAAATTAAATGGATAGTCTTCCAAATTTGTCCTCCTAGTACCACATTCTAAATTACTTAGTTGGAACGGTGGCATTGCCCTTGACTTCTGATTTCCCATTCACAATTCCATTATGTCAGTACTCCCATTTCTAGCTCTGGATTTCATATTTAAGTTCAGTGACAGCAAAGCAACAGACTTCAATATGATTTTCCTATCTTATATCCATTACCTGATTACTGTGATCTACAAAGTCCTATGAAATAGGGCACTACTGATCTTTCTCACTTTAACTCCAACTATTCCTGTGTCTTTTACACTTTTATATTCTTTACTGTTTTGTTTTTTTTTTTTTTTTTTAAGCAGGGCTTGAACTCAGGACCTTGTGCTTGCCAGGCAGGCACTTAAGCTACTGAGCTATCTACCCAGCCCACTGATACTTTTAATGTTTGTCAAACACATCAACTCACTCCTACCTTGGGGCCTGAACATTTATTGTTCCTATTACCAGGAATGTTTTCTCATGGCTCCAACCTGCATATCACTGAAGTCTGACCAGGTGTTACTTCCTTAGAGCTGATGTCCTTCGTTACCATATCAAAAATAGCCCCAGGAAAGCTATTCTTACTCTCTTTTGGTAGGAGTGATGACTGAACACAGGCTAGGCAGCATTCTGCCACTGAACTGCACCGTTGTCCCCACTATGCCTATTTATTCCTTATCCTTTGACTTATTTTATTTGCCTTTATCACACATATGACTGTCTGATATTAAATCATTTGTTTAATCGTCTTTCTCTCTTAACACCTTTCTTTTCACTTCAGGATCCCTAGCATCCTGAACAGCACCTGGTGAAACAATGCAAGAATTTGGTAAATAATACATTAACTAAAACAATTTATATGCCAATATATTTAATTTCCTTTATTTGATTACAAGCTATTCAAAGGCAGAATTTGTGTTATTTTAACAGTGTATTCTCATAACACATATTGGGAAGAATGTTCCAAGAATTTCTAAGGGAATTTTGCATACCTTCCTGTTTTCAAGCTGTGTCCTTTTTGCAGTCTCTTTTTAGGGTTCTTCAAGGATACATTTTGGCATTTTTTTCTCTTTGCAATTCTTTTTTTGTTTTCAGTTATGTGGATTTCCAAATCTCATTTTCTAAGTCATGTGTCTTACATGCAAAGTCCTACCAGCTTTCTCCACTCAGTCATAATATATCCAAAATTGAGTATGTGTCTTCCTTCTAGTGTATCATCAACAACCTAAAAAATCTTGTATATTATCCCTGATTCTCCTTCCCCACATCCTGGCCAGCAGGCATCATTGAGTGTCATTTATGTTTATTTCCTAATTGGCTGTCCAATATTTTTACTTCTCTCTATCCTTCCGAACTCCTTACTGTAACATATAGGACTCTTTGTGGTCCATGATTTAACTTGTATTTATATTCTTCCCATCTCATTTGTCAAGACTCTCCATCATCTCCCCTCACGAGACTATAATCCTGCCACACAAAATGAACCTCTTTGAAGTCAGTTAATATTTGCTTAAGGACCCTTTGCCTGCTATATTTTTTTTCTTTCTCTAGGAAGGCTTCACCACTACCATAAGCCTAGGATAGATACCACTTCTATTATGTCCCCATAGCAACAAATCTTTATCAAATTATAAAACTGCTTATTTATCTGTCCCCCATAATAGACTATAAGCTCCATAAAAGCAAGGACTATATCTACTCATCATAGTATTCCCAGCACCTGGCACAATACCAAGAACATAAGCTCAATAAGCATTTGTTTAAAAGAATGAATCAATGAATAAATGAATTCTAAAGAAGTCAGAAGGAAGCCAACTCTCTCAGGAAAATCACATTTGACTTTAACTGCATTCAGTATGTGTGAGAACAAATGTTGGGTAGAAAAGACTACCTGTCCCAAAAAGAATGGCAGGCTGTTGAATTATTTAGGAACTTATGGAAAATAAATTTGGGGGAAAAGGAGTAACTCTTGAGAAGGAAACTGGACCTGAAGAGATGGTAATACAGAAACCACAGTTTTCACTATATATGCTTTTGCACCTTTTAGTCTGTCTCTAGATTTGGTACTAGGGATTTGAATTTGAGGCCTTTGCACTAAGCTACATCTTCTGGCCTTTTTAGTATTTTTATTTTGAGACAGTCTCACTAAATGGATAAGTTGCCCAGGTGGGTCTTAAACTTCACGATCCTCCTGCCTTAACCACCCAGAATGCTGGGACTATGGGTGTGTGCCACAACACCCACCTTTTTATTTTTGTACCATATACTATATTTAAAACCTTTTTAAAAGGGGCTGTGTAGTTCAGTGATAGAGCACTTGCCAAACATGCATGAGATCCTAGGTATGATCAAAAATAAGTAAAACCTGTTTTTGTATTTTAAGTAAACTATTTTAGTAGACAAACTTTAGTACACTGGTGCTTTGCATCAAGTCCTGTATTATAATGAAAACTCAAATTATCTTGAGCAAATGTGTAACATTTTCAACAGGACAGATAACCCATTAACTCATGATGCTCTTCCTGCCCCTACTTCCTAAATGCTGGGATTAGATTGCACCATTAATTTTTTTTTTAACATACTAGGGATTGAACCTAGTACCTTCATACCAAGATACATCCCCGTTTTTCTTTGGAGACACGGTCTCACTAAGTTGCCCAGGCTGGCTTTGTCTTCCTGTCTCAGCCTCTCACAGTGTTGGGATTCACAGGTATGCATCATCACACCCAGTTCTATTTCTTCCCTTCTTTCTTTGATGAATACCATGGATTCTATCACTACCAAGAGCTTTTGTATTTCAGATTTCCCTCAAGGCTCCTATAACTTTTCTCACCCTAGGTAATCCTATAATATACTCTTGGAGAACTGCTCTAAGAAAGGGCTATTTCTCCAGGCTCTGAGTGTAGGTAAATAAAATAATGATCATAAGTCTTAATTTTGCTGAATTTACATGGCTTTTCCCAAGTTGCAACTCTTAATTTCTTTGTACTCCTTCACCTGAATTATATTTTCATCTAGCAGAGACAATGCTCTGAATAGATGAACCCTAATGCTACTTACAAAACTGTGGGAAGACCTTGGAGCCTCCGGCCCCTCTGAGACAGTGGTGCCACTGAGACTGCATGAGATGCGGCGAAAGTTCTCTGCACTGTACTGTTCTTCCTCCCCATATTCCCTGCTGAGGCCTCGGTATGCTGCAGCCTTCAAACACACAGACACACATAGGCAGATGGGTGACATCAGACCTGTGGTTTTCCCACAGACCGGTCTTCAGGAATATGCAAGAAAATAAGGTAAGACTCTCTAGTAAACACCTGAACTAGATATATTTAGTAAATGTGCTGCCAAACCTAACACAGAACTAGATATATTTAAACATAGTAATCACGTGGAAATCTTTCACTCAAAAGAAGCCCTATTCCTATCCTTGTTCCCTTCTGTAGTCCACTGTCACCATGTCTCTGCCTTACTACCAATCCCACCATATACATACATATATAAT